TTCAAGCCAGTCTCGAATATACCTACACAATAGGTTGAATGGACTAACGCCTATCGGAAAACAACTACTCTCCTGGCTAATACCACGAAGGGCATTGGATTATATCCGACAGGCGTCAGTGCAGGAATCTTAACAGAAAATGTCCTGCATATGCAATTGGCAATGGACCAAACATCTCCGCTACAGTTGACTCTGCTCATATAGAAATATTGAAAGCACAGGATTGGTTCTCCAAAAATAAATTAGTTTGCAATGATAAAAAATCCTCTTTTGTAAGATTTAGTTATGCACCAAAAGGGTATGATCACAGCTTACTTTTAAAATCATCAAATGGTTCGTTAAAACAAGTAACATCAGTTAAATTCTTGGGACTTTACCTCTCAGAAGATTGTAAGTGGAATCATCACATTCATGAAATGTGCAAAAAAATATCACCAATGTGCTGTTGCCTGTATCAACTTAATAAAATTGTGGACAAATCTGTATTACTTATGTTTTTTCATGCACATGTTCACTCTTTAATCTTGTATAGCATATCAGCTTGGGGTTTATCTAGTGAAGCGCAAAGGGTGTTTATTTTACAAAAGAGAGCTGTCAGAAATATTCAAAGAGTAAGTAGACACACGAGCTGTAAAGAACTATTCAAAATCCTGTAAATTCTAACCTTACCTTGCATTTATATTCACCAGATACTGATGTTTGTAAAATCAGACAGACAATTGTTTGCTCCATTGAATAGAAACAAATACAGTACAAGAAATTCAACTTTATTGGAAATACCAATTCACAGACTGGCCAGGTCCGAATCAAGTCCTTTTTATATGGGTATCAAATTATTTAATAAATTGTCAACTCATGTTTACAACTTAAAGAGTCGACCTTCAATTTTGGAACGAGCACACTTGCAGACCGGTTTCGGGCTCATTAGCCACTCATCAATGCAAGATAGTAGCCATCATCGACCTAAAGTCAATGATATTTCATAATTGAAAATCGGAATTCTTTCAAAGTATTTCATACCTCTTCCTGAATTGGAGCGAACAACAAAATGTCACTCCATCTAGTGGAGGAGGTACTAACCAACTGCATATCCGAAATGTGCTCGATTCTTCTGAAATATTGGGTAGAAATTTGCAATAAAAGTTTAACATACATAACATAAAAAGATTTTAGTTTAGTTGTTTTTTGGAATCGAAGTGAATGTTATTGTTAAAATTTGTTCTTTTGAGGTCGGGAGCCCCTCCTAATCAATCTCATGACCCAAATAGGTAACAGAGTTTTTGAATAGAAAACACTTCTCTTTCTTCACTTTCAATTCACATTCTCGTTACCGATGGAAAACTTTATCAAAACGTTCAAAATGTTCTTGAAAATTTTTCCGGTTACAAGAATATCGTCCAGAAAGCTAACGACTTCAGGCATGTTCTGGAACATTTGATCCATTATTTTCTGGAAAATAGCAGAATCGTTGACAATGTCATACGGAAGACGGGTATATGAAATAAAAAAACCCTTATGTCTAGCTTTGGTAACCAATTTCTGTGAATTTCAAGACAAAACTACTTGCTGATAAGCCTCACTCGGATATATTTTCGAAAACTTCCAACTACCCTCCAATTGTAAAAATAAATACACTATGCGCGGTGAGGGACTGTGGTGAACAATCAGATGAGTGTTAATTCCCCTTTAGATTTGAAAATCAGTACCATAGATTCCAAAACTTTATTTTCGATTAATCTATCAATTTCCTTTTCAATTTTCAACTTCAATGTGAATGGTGGGGGATTCACAAAATTCTGGAATGACTTCCTCTTCCAAGCTAAACGAACTACAAATTCCCTAGTTTATTCTCAAATATTTCATAATACTTTTTCAAAAGGTTTTTAAATTTTGTTAGGAATTTCTTCAGTTTTTTGTCCTTTGGATAACATTCAACAAATTGTAGGTTACATGAACGAAAATTCAACATAATCAATGCTTATTGAACAATGAGTGGAGGTCCACTTAGAAGTTAATAGGAATTTTTTCTATACTTAATTTGTCATGAATTGGTTTCGCATCAACCTGGCTATCAACAACTTCATTCTGAGAACTGAAATTGAAAATTGATTCAGTTTATGAACTTTAATTTGTCAATTCATTTGTATGTTCATTTTCAGTTATAAAATTCAGCGAATATTTCTTACATCGGAGTGCCAAATGCCATATTTGTGACAATAGTAACTATTATAAACACAAGCACGTGCTAAATGATTCGTTGTGCTAGATACAAAACACTTACTTAACCGTTGTCGAGGAGAAGTGTTATGCTATACAATAGCTTCCTCAGACATGTTCATGGAAATATGAATACGCCTGAGGAAACTATTGTTTAGCGAAACACGTGTTGTGGTTTTATGAATTCATTAGAGAAAATCCCACAATGAAAAATATGAACTGCATTAACCATAGGATGGACCGATGTCCGTGTGGTTTTTAAGTGTTAATCGACGTGGGCGGTGTGGACCACCACCCACGGCCTCGCGCTGCAAAGAGTCTCGCGCCTCAAAGCCTATGAAAGCATATGAATGAAAAATTCGTAAATATATTTTTCTTTCTGATGAACTATATTATATTATGAAATTAATTCTTATTAACGCATGCCAATTCCATAAACAAATTATGGAAATCTTTACAAATACTAAAAGTATTTGTAATGAGAGAGCATTGCTCTCTAATATTTGCGTCATTTTGTGAAGAGATCAAAGAATATCGACAAACTGGATTCGAAGAATGCTTGTCTGAAGCTAGTTAGCTCATTAATTATTTATTATTATTGAAATTTGCATAGGAAAATGATAGCCAAAAGAAAAAGAATGTTTGATTGTGAATTCAGCGATCAACCTATACAGTCTGGCAAAAGCCGGTATGAAGCAAATTTCTCAATACTATGATTGATTCTGTGATAAGTAATATGGATTCGAGATTTATCTTCAAATCAACACTTTGAAAATTTTGGTTTTCTTCATAACTGAACAAGTTAAAAAAACAGAAGAGCAAATAGTGAAAACTGTCAAGATCAACACACAGTCCTGCAAGTAGGCGAGAGCAGTGACTTCCAACCTTACGAGTTATATGAAGAACTACAAAATATGATCTCAAATTCACCAAACTCCATTGAAGACGTGGAATATATGCTCCAGTATAATATAAAGAACGATTCGAAAGAAATTTAGCCAAATGTTCACATTGAAGTACGAATTTTATCATTTTATCAACAAAACATGTATAACTGCTTCCGCTGAAAGGGGATTTTCAAAATTGAAACCAATAAAAAATTATTTAACAAATTCATTGGGTCAAGAAAGACTTACAGCTTTGACACTTCCATCCACTGAAGCAGTTATAGCATAACGAACCAATAATTAGGAACTTCCGTAAAACCAGAAGTAGAAAATTTTTGTTTCGTTAATTCATTAATTTGTATCCATTTTTAATCCCCGACACAAAAAAAGGTGTTATGAGTTTGACTGGTGTATCTGTATGTCTGTCTGTATCACTGAAGCTTCTATAATAGTAGACCAATTTTGATGCTCTTCTTTATTTGATGGATAGTTTTGTGTGAATGGTTCTTAGATACATTTCATGAAAATCGCTCCAGTCTTTTGAAAGTTACCAGCTCGTTTTCCAAATTATGAAGAGGAATTATGCATTGAATTGTGCTTGACTAATCGTAATAAAAATCCGATACTTTGAGAGTATGTACAATAACTTTGATATGATGCTGCAACCGGAACATACTGCAAAGTACTAACTCCTCGGCAAGTTACAGCAGACGTGACGTGTTTGGGCTCATTTTAAAGGTATCAATGAGTAGATAGCCACAATGTCAGTGACTTCAACTGGGGTTTTGATACGGCAACCAGGACATAATGTTTTTTGGTAACTTTTTTTTTATTTTTAATTTTGTTGTTTAATATTCCAGAAAAGTACAAAAGTCAAAATTTTGGTGAGTATCTGTATCTGTAGAGTTAGGAGGGGGAGTGTAAGCCCACAGTACTTAGGCCATATGTGACCCATTTTACATCCTCCCGACGGTTGTGCTCCTAGATCATCGTCCATCTTGTCCTTTCCGGGAAGGTGGACAGATTTCTGGGAGACATCTCTTTTATATCGGTAGGTGTAGGTCAAGACTCGCCGAACACACACTCTCTTATTGACGATCACTCCGGGCACTCGCATAGGACATGTCTGACAGTCTCATCTTCCTGTTCACACATCCTGCATAATGATGTGTCCACTAGCCCCATATTATGAAGGTGTTTCCTTAATTGACAGTGGCCAGTCAGAAATCCTACTGTTAAGCGTAGATTTTTCCTGGTCATCCCCAGATATTTCTTCGGCGCCAGCTTCCCAGGGTCACTCGAAGTGATCCTGGCAAGATTGCATTCTTTTAGAGATTGAGCATGGGTGTAACATTTGGCTAGTTCCGCAATCGTCGAAGTCAAAAGGCCGTAGGTGCCACTGGGTCCTAGAATTCTTAGTCCAGCCGCTTCCTTGGCTAAAGAGTTGGCAATGCGATTACCTTTACTCCTGTCGGGCCCTTTAACCCACCTCAGGCTGACGTTATTATCTACCGAAGCTTTGGCTGAATCTTGGTGGCACTCTAGTGCTAGCCTTGAGGTAACACGTTGTCTGTTCAAGGCTAATAGGGCTTGTCTGCTGTCAGTACAGATTGTTTTGGTGAGTAGTTACTAATAAATGAAAATTTGTTTGAATTAAAGTATATTTTCTATTTTATAAACCCTCATTCTTTAACCAACAGAGGGCCTCGCGAAATGTACCTTGCCCACATTAAATCTAGGCCTTGCGTCGCCACTGGAACGATACATTTAGAACAACGGCTAGGATAGATCATCAGCATTCATCACTTGTTCTTTGTTGAAAGAGTTTCACAGTACCTCATCCGCATCATTGTTTCTTTACAATAAAACCATGTGACTTGGAACTCTTTGTTATAGGGAATACTAGGTTCCGGATTCGCACTGAAAGTACAACAAAAACAGCGTCAGAAGCACTTCAATCGACAAATTCCGGCAGCTGCGATGTTGATCCAGTGTCTTTGGCGATGTTACGCTGCTGACAAGAGTTTCAACTCTACAGCTACGTGGCAGGTGTACCTCAGTGATGGAAATGGCACCTCTGTTGTTCCAACCAGTAATTCCGGAGCAGGTGGTAGTAGCAATTATAGTATGCCGCTATCAAAGGTAAGAAAATTCATATATGAAGTACTTGTATGACAATAATTGAAATATCTGTGGGTTCACATTTTAAAAATTCTGTCGAAGTGAGAAATTATTTACGCTAAGATTTTGCATGCCTTTGTACAGCCTGACAAAAAACTTGACAGATGGGAAATCACATATCAATCGAGTATCGAGCTGTTGATAAATATTTATTTTTGGAAGGCAATACGCCTACGCAAATCAAAAATGAATTGGATTTTGTATACGGGGAAAAAACGCCGAGTACTATTTGTAGGGTTACAGAAATAGGTGCATTGCTGGGAGAAATGAGTAGAGTTGAAAGGAGACTATGTTGAAAAATATAAAAATCTGAATAAATGTCTGGTATCATTGTTAGGTCGAACACTTTTCAGATTACCCACTTATGTTATTTATTAAGAAACAAGTTGACGTGGTAGTTAATAGGCCTTGAGGTTATCTTCCATTATCCAAAATGGAAAGTTTGTGCTTCATTTGTGAACAATCACTTTCGACCGGTGAAACTATGGTTGTTGAACAATGAGAGAAATAAGTGTAAGGAAAAAATGAAAATTGAATTGAATTGAATTATTAAAATATATTCATACTGAAACTGTGGATTAGAAATATCGAGATATCCATACTAGAGAGCATCATTTAAAATATAACGTGTAATATAAGGCGAAGCTTGTATATATGTACATTCCAAAGTTTTACTGAATTCCGTTTTTTGTAAAGAAATGGCAAATAAAATAAAAACAATTAGGTATATTGCAGGCGGGAATTCAGCAAAACATCCAGATATAATAATAATAATAATAAATTAATTTATTGACAGCTGGAATAACATGATACAATATGGAGAAAAACAAAATACAAAGTTGTCAATAGGATACAAGATTGAACAGAGTTCATTCTTCCTCTTGCACCTTACAAAAAAAATGAAAAAGATAAAAAACAAAAAAAAAAATAACAAAGGACCTAAAATAAAATTGAAATTGTGATAGCGGGTACAACATTTAATTCATGAGGCGGATATCGATACAAACATAAGGATACTACAGTGCGTGAATTATGATTTGTGATGCACTGTTTGGAACCTTTGGTGTAGTAATCAATATTACTGGAGTTCTTTCCCACCAACAAACCGTTATTTGAACACCTTGACACGTGTTTCAATCACCAAGAGATCATCTTCAAGAGGAAGTTCGATATTCCTTTTGAAGATGATCACTTGGTGATCGAAACACGTGTCGAGGTGTTAAAATAACGGTTTGGTGTTGGGAAAAACTCCAGTAATATGAATTATGATTGATCAATTATTTTCTTTAATTTGTGCCAATATCGCGTTGACATCCTCTCTTGACGCTATATTCAGGAGATAAAAGTAGAAAATGTGATTACCAAAAAAAAAAAATAACTGAGTTCTGGTCAGAAAAAATGTTTAACAGTCCGCGAAGAAACTACAGAAGTTATCGAAATAGATGAAGGTGAACTAGTTGTATTTTGTTTGATGGTGTGAAGGAACGGGTTTTTCTCTCAGAGTTTTTCGTGGGTGGTCAGGGAAAATCAGACTGCTGCTCTTGTAATATGGAACGTTTACTGATTCGGAGTGAAATGAGTGAACAATACAGACATCAATAATGGATGATTATCCGCAAATATACAGCAGAAATGAGATGTAATTAATTCTCACAAGAGAACACTACTGGCTTTACCATTGCCTACCTAAAATAAGATGCAGGCACGGGTCGCCACAATACAAGTATTATTCAACCTTTCAGGCCATTGGCAAATTATATCAAACTGAATAATGCGTGGGTAACAATAAAACCACGGACTTTAACTTCGATTCAACAAATCTCTTCCTACCAACGCAATTCAATAAAATAGTTTCCGATATAAAAACAATGGCGATTTTTCTGTACATTCCGATAGATGCGAAGTTTATAGACATACCGAAGATCGCTATGGCAAGCAACCCATCATACAAATATATGAAGGATGTATCAAAAATATATGTCAACGGAGTAAACGTAAAATAACTCAAAAGGAAAAATGCCCGTGTTTTGCTACAATGGTAGGAGAAAGCCAAAACTTTAAAATCTATGAAATGTATGAATCTGGTCTACGTATCGATATGTGAGGTTCAGTAATAATATCTGTCAATTGAAACTATACATTGAATTGTAGAGGCTATTTTAATTGATCAGTCAATAGAAATAATATATCGGCCCAAAAGTTTGTCAAACAGCCTCATCTGGAATTTTTTTCCTCATTTATAGTAAGAAATTGAGGGTCCTGGAAATAATTTACAAATCCCACCATTTCTATAATGTATGGACTATTTATTTCTCTATAGCAATCTCATTAAAAATATAGGATGTCATATCATCCATATGAAAATAATCACGAAATAAAAATTGCTGTTCGTTATTACTTCACACATAGTTTTTACTGTTAGCTATAATTAAAATATATAAGGGATTTTTTATTCTTTCGGTTGACTGAACTTGACTATAGTTCAAAATCACTTCTTGATATATAAACGAGTTATATACTGAAAACCTTCAATTGATTGAAAATTAATGAATGAAAGTTAAGTTAGGGTAAGTACTTGATGAAATGGAAGGGATAAAATGACATTTATTCATTTAAGATTCAATAGATCCTCAAGTTTGAAAATTGTACATAGAGAATTACTATGATCCCACCAACTATATCTAGTAGAAGGGGAATATCATTTTCATCGATGGTTTTCTCGTGATGAATATTTGAATGCCTTACGACGTTCATCAGTTCATTGCTTGCTTAAATATTTAATCACAGACTCTCCCTAAAAAAATGTATAAATTGTCTACGAGAATTCATATTACTCATCTCCAAGAAACCGTTCGAAATGCTAGATTAGGTCAGGTTAGTGGAATTTTTTTGAGATAACTGTATGCCTTTCAACAAACGAATGGAATAATGAAAAAAATGTTAAACTTGAAAAAACAGATACTATCACTTGTCTATGTTTCCACCACGCATTTACTCCCATTTTGAAAAAAAATATTAGGTAAGTGAACCTAACCTTTCATATACAAATCGTTTATAATTACATTTCAATTATAAGAGTGAAATAAAAAAGAAGAACATAGACCGACCATCCTACGTTGACGTTCTTTAATCTTACAGCTGACTGATGAAAGCACTATGTGATCTCACGACCTTTCATGAAGATTACTAGTGGTGTTGGCGCTCTCTGACGAATGAGTGTGAGTTGACATATAACTCCGAACTCAGTGACTAGACTGCATCCAGTTTCAAGAGCAAACTCTTCAACCAATTCATGCACTTTTCCCATTCCTGTACTTGTTCCGCCTTACCTCACTGTTTTGAAATCGGTTTCAACTTTGAATTGATTACTTATGAGAAACGTCTACGTATATACCATCTACATGAACTTCATGCGTAACAATTATTTATTGCAACATTTACACTTTATATTCAACTCTGTCGACTGATAATTTCCATATGTATTGAAATTCCGACAGATGGTACATACATTTTATTAATAACGATATCGTTCAAAGCACTTTTATTTCATATTATTGCAAACAGAAAATTAATTTCCTTGTCGATGAAAAACTATTATATGTATCTAGACTTCAAATTACCTGATAGTTTGTCTGAATTTTTCAATAGTATACGAGTAACTATTTCATATTAAAACAATAAAAAGCAGTAGATTCGAATATAAAACTTCAGCGCCTTCGCCTAAATTAATATTCTACCATTCGCCAAAATTTTCCTTTTACCATGAATACATAAAAAACGCTCAGATTTTTGTTGGAAATGTGAAATAATTTTTCAAATTCACTTGTGATCCTACATTAAAATAATGGAAAATTCATGCCTCATTTTTCAGGTATATGGTGGTATATTTGACACAAATTTTCAAGCTTCCGTATTCGGACCGTGAAATAGTTGTCAAAAAAACATAAACAAGGTTTTTATCAACCTTATTTCGTTTACACATGTAGAAAGTTCTATATTGAAATTGTCATAATTTTCAGATTGTGTAAAGTTGAAATACCTGGAGGAGGTCGATAAAAACTTTGATTTCTTCCACACATACAATAAGTATCATATTGCATTGCAAACACATAATCCTTTGAAGCTGTGCTTTCACTGCCCAAATTTTTCAGAAAAACATAAGTGGGTTGAGTAATACCTCACTAGTATTACCTTACCCAAAATATTAATAAATACTTTGTTTACGAAAATATTTTCATTCATTCAGAAGATCTCGAGCTTTGCAATGGCAATAATATATTGTTCAAAAAATGCAAAATTTTATTGGTTCTCACTTGAAGACATATCGAATAAATGAAGTGAATGATCCATATGGCATCCACCAACGTCTATACAATGATACAGGTTATTTCCAAACTATTGGTACCTATACAATGTCATCGTGAAAGTTATGAAATAATTCAAATCAGAAATACAACAGAAAATTGAAGTTATCACCGCAAGGCACATGCTACTGGGTAGTTCTGAGCCAACCAGCGGCTCAGAACTACTCAGCTTTTCTCATCATTTTCGAGCGAATTGTGAATAAACTGTAATCGCTCCCATCACCCCTGAGCTCTCATTTCTCCACTTTCCACTAATACACTATGAAATGGTTTGTAATGGAATGAAATAACTGAAATTTTTTCAGTGCTAAATGGTTTTGAAAAAAAATATGTAGATGATGTACTAAAAAATTATTCGAAAAGTCCTAGGTAGCAATCATCAGAAAACTCTCCTCTACGGTATTGATAAGATAAAAAATAAGGAAATCGTTGGGGTAGTATTCACATATTTACTCAGATTACGCTACGCCCAACGATTTTATAATTTTTTTATCTGATCAATACCATATATTATTGAAAAGAGTGATGTGATGACTGCTACCTAGGACCTTCCGAACTATTTTTTAGCTTTTAGTACATTATCTACCGTTCAACATGATTTTTTTTATTTGCCTCATTTGTTGTTAATTTGATAATTTGTTGCTATCTAACTCCTCAATACATAAACCTTTCAGAGACTTTACTCGACTCAGGGCCACTTTAGCTTATCCTTAAATACAACTGCATGGTCTTTAGTACTGCCTTGCATTTTGTGGACAGTTAAAGCCCATGACAAAATGTATGGCTTTATGGTGGATAAGACGTACGACGTCTCTTCCCCAAAGTTGATTTGAACTGACGGTACATCTGTTTCGTACATCTGAGTTCGACGAAACCGAGGCCAAACAATTTCTGTAGCCGATGGCGCATTCACCGATCCTTTCGATACGTCAATATTGGATCGCAACAATAGTGGAGGTAGTAGTGGAATAATAGGTAATTTGCCATTTCGTAGCTGCGGCCATCTTGAATTTGCGCCTTTTCCAAAGTGTACTACCATTCTATTAGTCAAGCCCTGTCATTTGATACCCATATTGAGGTATAGTTGCAAAAAAATATGTAATCCGCCATTTTGTAGCAACAGCCATCTTGGATTTACAATCATACAGAATTCATTTATTTGTATTGTCATCAAAAATGAATGTGTGTATCAAATAACAGATCAATATGTCAACAGAAAGGGGGTCAAAATCCAATTACTAAATTTGTCCCAAACAAACAGGGCGAGCTAAAGTATTATATTGGAATATGTTGATGGATTTCGGTGTATTCGTCTGAGGTTACAAACGAATATTATTCCTATACTGAATTTTACAGACGAGTCCTTTGTCTACCATCTGAGATGTTTTTGATGTGTATTTGTAGTACTAGTTCAATCATTACCTTTAAGCCAGTTAGTTCAAAGACAAATTAATAAGTCTAAACAAAATCCCACGAAGTTGTCGTGCTATTATAAAAATAGAACAGTTTTGCCTGTAGGAACCTGAATGTTACCTCTGAATTTCACCTCAAGGATAAAGAATCGAATGCAACAAACCATGAAATTTAAATTCATTCTTTCCACATGAAGTGAGTGACAAAACAAAGATGAAATGAGTATTTGTACTTACTTATTGAGCATGACAGATCTGGGTCTTTATTGAAACTTCCGCTACCGACTTAGAAAAATGTAGGTATAATGAAAACTGAATGATACAAAGTGAGGTTAGGTAACATAGTTCATATTCAAACTCATTATTACATTTTATTTTATAATTTTCACTAAAAAAGGTTTTACAAAAATCGTGACATGTGTTTTGCTATACAATTGCTTTCTCAAGCATAAAATAATGAGTTACTTCTAAGTTACAACTATTTTATACTCTAACATGTTATCTACTTGTATGCCTACTTTCTATTGAATGAATCTTCCTGAAAACGGGAGGTATAACTTCATTAACTGTAGGAATAAATCAAATTTTCGAAAGTACCGTAATTATATTCAGTTTTTCATACCAGGAAATAAACAAATTCAATAATGGCGAATTATTCAGTTCAGTTTGATCGTTCATAAGATATTGTGAGTTTTTGAATTTGTTTATTTCCATACTGAATCCTGAAAAAAATTTCTTTATGAATCACGAAAACCAATACTGGCAATTTTCCTTATAGCTTATAACACCCTTATACCACAACAGATATGGAAATAAAATGGAGAAAAATAGGCTATTCTCAAGGCAACACAGCTTATTAGTTTTATGAGTTATATCGATAGATACAACTTGTTATGAAGGTCAGAAGGCAGTGTGTCGATGTGACAATGCCATTTCAGAGACTGATCTAATGTGAGCCCCAGAGGCTTGATTTTTCCACCCATTTGATTTGGAGATTACCTGAAAATCTAATTCTTTGTGTTTTATTGAGATTCTAATTGAAAATATTCGTTACGAACTATTCATCAACTTCCTGTTTAACTGACATGATAAAACACTCCAAGAGGTATTTATCATTACTTCATTTATATACCTTGTGTTACATCGTCAGCAAACATAATGCATGAGGAATGTTGTGAATCATACAACATATCATCTACATATATTATAAATAGAGTGAGTCCCAAGACCTACTCACTCCGTATCTGACCATTTGAAAACCAGATTTATTTTCATTGAAGTAATTCGCTTGTTGTCTGTTTGGAAGATTTGACTCAGAAAATTTCAATTTAATACTTTGAATTCCGTAGTATTCAAGTGTTTGCAAGAGAAATTCGTGAGACACAGTCGAACTCCTTGCTTGGGTCACACATAGTTACTGCAGTAACCCGGTCCAGAACCATGTACTATATTCCCAACCAGCTCCTCAACGGCTTGAACTGTGGATTTACAATTCCTAGGGCCGAACTGTTTTGGTGTTTGTCTATATAATATATCAGTCTGACATTCACGATTTTTTCAATTATTTAATTCAAGATATTATTGATAATGGTCTGTAGTTCAATGGAATGTCTCTGTCTCCGCTTTCATAGATAGGAATAACTTTCGTTATTTCAAATATATCCGGGAAGTTCCTGAATGAGAAACGTAGATTGATTAGATCAGATTGATTTAAAATGTTGCTGCTTCTTTCGTTTGCTCTATTCACTTTCGATATTTTCCCCTGAAAACTTTATAAGCCTGTTCATATTTTTCAGGCTTAGTTGCATTGCTGATACAACTAAGTCTGCAATCAAATAGCTGAAATTCCCTCTTAAAGTTGTTCAATGCTAATGTTGAAAAATTGGGTCTCAGAACCTTCTTTGAGCATAAGAGATTTTTGTCTGCAGAAATGATATATACCCTCACTATCATTAACGGAACATATGAGATACCAGGCGCTCTCTCGTCATATAAAATCTTGTCACAGTAATGCGATGCTCTACGTCATGGATCTCCTTTCCCATCTACTCGTAGGTCCTTCATAGACCATAAAGTAACCAAAGGATCTGATCCTGTGTTTATAGAGGAGATGGACATGAAGCCAACAGTCCTACCTGTAACATCGTATCAAGAGAAATAGCTTCTCAATATCAAACGAGTATCAAACATAAGGTTAACAATGCCTCATTGAAAAAAATAGAACAGCCATCCGGCGTTGCGGATATGCTACGTATGTTAAACCTCAATGGAATGAAATTCAGCTCATTTTTTCATCAACAATAATCTCTTTTTTTCAATACACTGACTTGCTACTTGGCGAAAATTAATAACACTATTATTGATAATGTAACAAATTAAACAATTAACTGTCATAAACAAATGTATTTTCAATAATATTTCACTAATCTCAAACTAATTTATTTACAACACTTAGCAACTAACGCTTAATTCATCTCCACTATTTGAATTCCTTGTTTAACCGCTTGATTCACTTTTTGAACTCCCTCTTGGGTCGGGAAGCCGGACTTATATATCGGTAACGATCGTTTCTAGAAATCTGTAGTCGGTTCGTTTCTAGAGTTCTACCGGCGATTACCGATTGCATAATTTTTGCGATCAGGGGCGGCTTCAGATTCGTTACAATAATAATGACAAATTCTCACAATATATAATTTATTTACAATTCGCGTTTTACTGCAACAGTAGCTTCCTCAGTTGGACTGGTTCTCTACACTACTTCGCAATGTAATACATACAAATTATGGTCGAAAACAGGTAATAACAGTCGAAAAAACTTTTATAAATTATGAAGCATTGAAAAATAAACCTTTAGACTTAGTATTTGTTAGAATAGTTTTAGATGCAGTGTTCGATGTATTGGTGTTAAGTATCTTTACCTTGGGTCAGTCCCTCATATTACAGGTAGCTAAGAAGGCCTCGGTGCTGAAAAGAAGGAAATCTCGGAATAGGATGGAAGTGAACACATCCGGAGCAAGAACGGAGGTGAATACTCCTGGTCCGGGTACCCCGTTGGCGGACACGCCAAACGTTCAATCAGTTATGAACAATCAGCCTAACAAGGCACTCTCCGATACTGACGTTATGTTCTTCATGGATGAACAAAAAACAGGTTTGTTTTGTTTTCATTTTTTATCTATAGACTGCTGCAAAAATATTGATTTTTTGTGAAATGTTAAACTGACGTAGAATGAATCGAAAACAAACACTGCTTCCATATCATTCATATCCCAGTGACACCAACTTGGTTTATGAAGTGGGCCTTGAGAAGAGTGTTGAGGTTATTGTGTAGTAGTAATGTGTGTTTCTGATTAAATTTTGAAGAAGACAAAATAGACATTCATCAATGAGTGCTTATTTTTTTAGGAACATGCAAATTCACTTAATTTTTTGAAAAGTCCTCGTATTACTAGCAGTGATTGATCATAGTTGAATTTTGAGTTATATTTCATTCATTATTTTAGAAAATAGAGAAATGTGACACCTATGACGTCTTCATATACAAAGCATTTATTTACCATTTCGTCTGGTATCGAACTGAATCACAAGGAGTGATGGAACCGAAAGATATTCATTATGATGTTGATGGATAAATCAATATTGACTTTCAAATAATTATATCAAAACTTGAAATTCATAATTACCAATAACAAACAAAAACTCATTGCTAGATGTGGATTTTCATTAAATAATCATTAAAAAAGGTACGCTCAGTTTCTTCATCAACGGTCATACACATGACAGATATTTCTGCAAATATGTCTTCTATCATCATTAAATTTCTACTGATCATTGAGAAAAAATTGAAAACCAGCTTATTAAACGGTTATTTTTCAAACAATTTTCAAAGAATCTACTATAAATTACACCAGATTTCTATAGAAAAAACCCAAGAAACATATGAATGTGGACTCTTATTTTGAAGGTACACCTAACAGAATCAGGAGAGGTGAAAGGGAAAGTATAAGGGGCGCAGTGTTCACAAGTCAGACAAGTACTGTGACAGAAGCAGCTAGCGATGACATCGACGATTTGGATGCTGAGCTGCCAAGGGTTACACAGTGAGTATTCATTTAAATGATTCATGCAAGAGAAATCTGAATCTGTACATTCGTTTCAAAATATTCAATAAATTGGGGTAGCATCAGAATTGTCTAGTGTCAGGTTACAGATTTAGTGGACTTGTTTCTTTATTTTTCAAAAACAGAACACAAGCACTACCGGAAACTCCTCAAGGTACTTTAAGAGCCGTGCCTGTATAAAATTAGCGATTCACATTGGATTTGAATCGCTGCAGATAAAATTAACTTGGAAACACGTTCTCAGGAAGTTTATTCCACTAACACGCAGGTCTCCAAATGAAAGAGATTTCAAACAGTGGAGTTCGAGGTATACTAAGTTGAACCTCAAAACGATGAGCAGCCACAGTCCGTCGCGTTTTTCTGATATGTACCGCTCTTGGTGGAATCAAATGAGCCAAGTCACTCTAGAGCACAGATACACCAATATGTTGATGTGAAAAATACATATAACTACAATGTATAAATGTCTGTAGAAGATGTATGTGATTAGAGTTATGTAATCTGTAGGTCAACTTCTCCATGGTTTGTTTGTTTTTTTTTTCATTTAAAAAAAATAGGGTATTTGTTTGATTGATGTGTGAGTGATGTTCGATGTAATTTACCTATTTCGATTGTTTCATTATAGGTATAACCTAAATGTTTTATTTATATAAACTATATGTAATTTTGATGTGATATCTGTATATAATTTTTCTAGTGCTTTTTTGTTCATGCTAAATGTTTCTATTTATATTAACTATATATGATTTTAATGAAATATCTGTACACAATTTCTCTAGTACTTTTTTGTTCATACCGAAAGAAACTTTATTTTTTATATTTCGTTCATTATAATCTACTGTATTTTAAAATGATATAGCACACGCACAGGTTTATCCTTCTGTGGGAACTATATTTATTTGTCGTTAACTAAGATTATTGTGTATTTCAAATTGAATAGCAAATAAATATTATTATTATTATTACTTGAACACCTCCCGTGGAAGTATCTATAAAAGAGAGACAAATCTCCAACCTGTCTTCGATGTTCCACGCTATCAAGGTTGCAAGTGATGTTCGCGTCTCCAATCAGGCAGATGGCTTTTTCCTGAATGGAATCCAGCAGATTCAGGCTATGCTCAGGAACGGAGCTCCATACATGAAAACAATACTCCAAAGAAGGTCTGATCTGAGCTTTATATAGCATCAAAAGCTGCTGAGGTGTGTAAACTTTTCTGGTTCGGAACAGTGTTCCAAGCTTTTGAAAAGCAGTCTTTGCGATTCCTGCATCATGATTGTGCCAGACATATTGGTGTCCATTTTAACCCCCAACAAACTTATCGAAGCAGAAAGCGGAATTGTCTGTCCTGGCATTATTATATCCAGTTCGAAGACATTTATCTTTTTGAAAAAAAACGATGCTTGGGTTATCGTGGTATTGAATTGAACCTGGTTACTCCCACCCCAATTCGAAATCACCTCTAGATTCTCATTGAGATATGCAATCTCCTGCTGCCGGTGAAGATGTGCAGATGTGCAAGGCAATATATTGGATTCATGGTTTTTTTCCAAAAAGTCATTTATATAATGAAAAGACGGTTGGAGACAATATGGATCCCTGGGGAACACCAGCGTTGATGGTAAAAGTGTTAGAGAGATATCTATCGACGGCCACTTGTAGAAAACGTTCTTTTAGGAAGCTGGAGAGCCATCGAAGTTTGGCCAGCAAACCCTCATGCCACACACTCATAAGACCTTAGACCTATCAAGCGCTACACCTCTTGACTCTTCATGTTTTCCGATTGTGTTATTCCTAATATGGGTGACATACGGTAGAAGGTCGCCTGTTGATTTTTGTTTCCGAAAGCCATATTGATGATCGCTCAAGATGTTGAAGCCTTCCAAATATTTAAGAATATGGGAGTTTACGACTCTCTTTATGATTTATGATAGCAAAACGACTGGTCTATAGTTCTATACATTTGAATTCAATGTTTGTAACTGATCTAATTGAATCTACAAATTCTTCCAAGACTTCTGCGTCAATTTGTGTGTTTCCATGTCAATTTTAGACACAGAAAATTGCATCCAACTAGGTTCGCCTCTAATTTTTATATTTTTCCGCAATTGATTTTTTCAGAATACAAAGTAGTATGTGTTCCCTTTCATGAGTTTCTTCAAGGTTTCATCAAGGTTTTGCTGTATTGCTCACATACACCTAATTTCTTTGCATTCTCAAAGGTTTTTTCTTATATGTCACAAAGAAACACCTTAACACATTAGGTCTAAGCAGTTCTTAGGTCTACATTGTAGGATTCTAAATGTATTATTCGGAGGTTCTGATAAATTAGGATTGAGATTTGAGACTGAAGAAATTCATTAATTTTTCTCATCAGACATGTTTCGTAACCGTAAAAGTCATTTTCCATTATAAACTCTGAAGAATAGTTACCTAACTATTTCTTTACTTTCATCACCACATTGGTGGAATTTTCGGACTATCATAAGAGTACATTTTTTCAAGGACAAAACACAAGCACTGTAGGAAAATCCTTAAGGCACTTTGAGAGCGGTGCCTATGTGAAAGTAGTGATTCACATTGGATTTGAATCGCTGGAGATTAAACCATTTGGAAAAGCGTTCTTAGAAAGTTAATTCCACATAAACGCAGTTCTCCAAATGAGAGAGTTCTTGAACAGTGGAGTTCGAGGTGTACTGAGTTGAATCTCAAAACGATGAGCAACCACACTCCATCTCGTATTTCTGATAAGTACCGCTCTTGGTGGAATTAAATGTGCCAAGTCACTTGAACATTTCCCGTGAAAGTATCTAAAGAAGAGAGACAAATCTCCAACCTTTCTTCGAAGTTCCAGACTATCAAGGTTGCAAGTGATGTTTGCGTCTCCAATCAGGTAGATGGCTTTTTCCTGGACGGAATCCAGCAGCTTCAAGGTATGCTTAGGGGCGAAGCTTCATACATGAAAACAATACTCCAAAGAAGGTCTCCTCTGAGCTATATGAAGCTTCAAAAGTTGCTGAGGTGTGTACAGTTTTCTGGTTCGGAACAGTGTTTCAAGCTTTTGAGAAGCGGCTTTCGCAATTCCAGCGACATGATTGTGCCAAGACATATTGGGGTCCATTTTTACCCCTAACAAACTTATCGAACCAGTAAGTGGAAGTGTGTGACGTCACATTAATATCCGGTTCGGAGGCGTTTATTTTTCTGGAGGAAATCGGTGGCTGTGTTTTTGTGGCATTGGATTGAACTTGGTTTTTTTCACTCCAATTTGAAATTACTTCTAGATCCTCGCTAAGATATGCAACCTCCTGCTGCCGGTAAAGATTTGCATCCGCCGCTGATGTTCTGGAATCCAAATGAAATGACGAAACGAGTGTGCTGTCGTCAGCAAAGCAATATATTGGATTCTTGGTCTTTTGCAATAAGTCGTTAATATACAATAACTAGTACTATGTTGCTGTATCGCTGCTGTTCCAATGTTTTGACCGAATCAGAATCAACAAACTTAGGCCAGCGCAGCGTTATAGAGCAGTCCTTCCGAAATAGTGTTATACAGCGCCATCTAGTGGCGAGTTACAGAAAAATTGATAGCCTAAAAACCTTCTCTATGAAAAATTACTCATACATGTCAAGTTTTCTCTTAATGGTCACCTTTGATCCGTCCACTGTCAAATTCCGGGTACGGAAGTTGCTCCATTCATACATTTTTGGGATCTCCAACGTTGTTCAAGTCAAGTCCTCCGGATGTCTCCCAATATTTCTTCTGTAGACCGAGTCTTGTTCAATATAATCAGTATTAAACTTCTCCCTAACCTTGGTTAGTACTACCCTCATGACAATTCAAAGAAGATTGTAGTCTTATTATTATCATTGAACGTACTCGTTGATATTTCTTTTTATAGTATCGTGTGTTGATTATGTAATTCTATCATTTTTAAGTGACGTGTATAATAATTTGGAATCGAATAGATTGGTTGATTTATTGAGATTCCTGCTCTTTATGCCGATGTAGATGATACCAGCGAACCGCCCCGGCTCTGCAAGGGTGCACTGCTGATACTGATACTATATATAAATTCACCCACCGGAAATTTAAGGGCATACAGAAACAGTGATGAAAAGGAAACTTTATTTAATGAAGGCGCCTTTTTCCTCCGCGGCTGGCACCTCAGTCGGAATATTTAAAAATCCTTTCTTATTGCACATCTACAACATAAAGCGAACATACATACAAAACTTCAGCCTCAGAAAATATACGTGCCCCTTATACCCCCACGGGGGGCGTTCCTGCTGGAATATTTGAAAATTCTTTCTTAGTGCACATCTTAAACCTAAGAAGCATCTATCTTAGCTCCCTAAGACTTACCAGTACGAATAAACAGAGATGAATGAGTGTTAAAAGGGTGTATAGTATAGATTTTTAGTTTGAACGTCTATCTTCCCACAAAAATATTTTCTCATGCACTTGCTCAGGAGTCATAGCTCCATCCATGGTATTTAGTTTTCTGATCTGACTCCCGAAGGAGCTTTGACATGAAAAATGGTAACTTCCGTACCCAAAATTATCTGTGTCAAAGTTTCTTCAGTAGTAAGATCAGTAAAATATCTGTCACACATATAGGAATTTTTTCCGATGGAAGATTATGCAGTGTTTTATACTAGTGTCAAATATAATTTCCTTCAAATTGTTGTGTGTTCGAGCTTAACGGATTCATCTTCGGTGCAAAAAGAAAACTTCAAATCATATGGTTCTCCGTAAAACACACAGACCGTTTCTGGAAGTAATAAATTCATAGATGGATATGTCATACATATATTCATTGGAACGAGATTTCAGTATTCATTCACTGAGCACGGGGAGCAGGTGAAAAGAACGTTGATTCAGTGAAAGTAACTATTCACCAGGAAAATAATTCGAGTAGGAAGAAAAAATAAATGTTCATGTGAACGTTTTTGGGGAATATCTCCACATTCTGAATAT